ATAAAATGCAATACTTACTAGATCTCTCAAATCCCACTTATTTACATGTACCAAGTACAATATCTCTAAAAGTAATGTATCCATTTTCATTAGCTTTCATCATTACATCAAGTGTAACTGAAACATGAGGATGGACAGAACAGACTGGTACAGCAGCTCTGAATATTTCTATGGATGTGTAAATGGTGCAGATGTGTTTTCAATTAGGTACAGTGCTCCCATCCTAGCACTTAGCACAGACTGCTAACCCATCTATGGGCTTACAGTCAATGATTTGTAATGGGCCTATAATATAATACTGTAATATATGGTTGCATCAAGCATTAGTGGTACATTGTTATCTGTCATGTGCAGAATGACCCAAATACTGAGCTGATTTAGCAGAATGGTTATGACTAGCATCAAACGGTTCGCTTATCAAACAATATACATTGATTTTTTTTAAAACAATTCACCACCAGATTGGATGAAAAAAGAAAATGGTTAAAAACTAAATCAACCTCAAAATACTGTGAATCACACGATTTTCTTTTACACATTTCTGGATTCATTAGCTTTAAACAGCTGCAAATTTGTGCTGTGTTCCTTAATGAAGTCACGAGTACTGAACCCAAGCTTTTGGATGAGAAATAATGATCTTGCGATAACATTTAGTTCAGTGGCACACAACCGATGTAGAAATTACCTACGGACATTTTTTTTATCAGACAACATACAGTTTCAGCATACAGATCAAATAACAGTTTACTCAGATGGTGACGATAGACTATAATACACAGGCATTTCCTTTCAAGGGCAGTAGGAATGTGTTTGTTCCCTTGTACCTAAGAAAGTCTTTCTTTATTGGAAGCTTAATCTGAAAAGACAGACATGATGGTTACAATTACAGGATGTTGATGTGATTATTACGCAGGAAGGTTTTTTCTTCATGGCTACGAGGCCTCAAGGCATCTATCATTTCACATTTCACACTTGACTGAACACTGCTATTTCAGATCCATAGTGATGTGGAGGCAATTATTAAGTATAGATACATTCATCCTTTTTTCAAATTCTGTAGCTTGGCAGTTGAAAAAGTGTAAGGCTACAGTCTCAAAAATTGCCAATGACTGTACTGAATGGGGGGATTAGAAGAAGCATTGGCTCTTTTTCCTACGGTTAACTGGTGCAAGTTTTTTTTACTTGTTTTTTTATTTTATTTTTAAATATCAATGAGGTAGGCCTGTTCTGTCTTCTTTTTCCCTCTGACGCAGATTAGCATTCATCCTACCACAGCTAACATGACAAATCTGGGCATATAAACAGTCTATTTAAGAGGATCCCCTACATCACATGCTTTGAATGCAATTTATGTCATGATCTGTTCATATGATTCAGATTCATTCAAGTTCCCTGTACAGTTTTTTCTTATTTTTAATGTCCTATGTAAAAAAAAAGGGGGGGAGGGAAAAGGAGAATCGGAAAAGTACCTCAAGCCAAGACTCAGACTCATGTGTCAGTGCACTGCCCACAAGGCTATTGGCTCCAAAAACAGGCTCTTTGTTATATACTGTATAAGCTAAACAACCCCTCCCATTCCTTGTTCTCGTAATTAGCAAAATAAGACCCGTATTTAGACCCGGCTGACTCAGACACAGGACAAAGTAGACACGGGACTGAGAGACTGAAAGAAATAGCATTGCCAAGGAAGGACAGACTTAATGAAAAATTCTGTGTTTATCTAATCATCAGATTCTCACTGCCTTCCAATCACATTACAAGTTGGGTGTGAAGAAAGAGAGACAGAAAGAAATGTGTTTGTCAGGAAAGTAGTTTGTTTGGCAAAGCACAACGATGTACATTAACCTGCAACTGATGTCTGTAATAAGAGCACATTCTATGTCTGTCAATGCTGTTTGAGGGGTTTTCCCTTTTTTAGGGGTTAAAATGAATGGCAAATCGAGACGGTGCAAAAAAATAACGGGATAGAGCAGATATGAGATGGAAATGATTCTTACTCCAGCCGGGCCTCGGAATGTTCCAGAGTGAAGAATCCATTCCATCTCTGTAGGGAATTCTGCCTTTGAGATACTGGTCATCACACTCAAACTCCTTTCACTGCATGGGTGAAATGCAGTGGAATTGCTTTTAGATGAGAGACACCTGTGAACTTTTTTACAAGAGACTGTTAAGACTGACTGCAAAAAATGCTCCAAAAACTATGGAGTTAAATGAGAACAAAATTATGTATTATGAATGCTTGCTCTTGTCACTCATGATTAGATGCCTCAAGTGCTCCTCTTTCAGATAATCAGTGATTTGTGGGTCAATTAAATAATGCTCATATTTGTTATTGTCACGGTGTGGTGTGGGTTTAAGAAGACTCAAAGTCAAAAGGCTCCAATACAAACAACAAAACAGGTACAGGCAGGCAGGGGATACACACACACAAAGGTAAAATTCACAAGAACCAACCAAGACTGACTGAACAGAGGGAAAATAAATACAGATACAAATGAACACTAACGAGGTGAGGACAGGTGACACAGACAGTGGCGGTTCTAGCCCATTTCAACTGGGGGGGCCAAGCTGGGGCCAGTTGTACTGTTAGAGGGGCCAGTTACATTTAGACCTTATTGTTGTCATATCATTTTCTGCACTGCTGCAGGCATTAACAGGCAAAATACCGTGTTTATAATCATTCAACAATGTATTTACATTTACATTATATTTTTACATTTGCATTACATATTCAGTATTAGTCACAGTAACTGTAATAGACATGATGTCCTTCTTTCTCTTCATTTTGAGAACTATAGAGCAAAAGCAATGGGGACCAAGAAGCTTATTAATTCATTTACTGAAAATAACCGACTTGATATGTCTAACCGTTTACAGGGTTCCTGCACACTTTTTAAAGTCAAATTTAAGGCTTTTTAAGACCTAAAGAAATCAAAATTAATACCGTACATTAGGGGTGTGCAATATTGACAAATATATTTCAATATTTTCAACATTTTGTTAATAATTAGATAATATTTTACTGATTGTGTTTTTGTGCTGGTGCCATGGCTGGTTTAGGCCTGTTGTTGACAGCTGACTCACGAAGATATTAATATTTTTCATATTCTATGCAGTGGTCAGTTCACAGCAGTGACAGAAATACATTTTTTAATTAAGGGGCAATATTTGCCACCTTAAATTGTTTTCCAGGGGCATTTTCACATATATATGGACATTTTTTCTAAACTTATTTAGAGTTATGCATCACCTTTTATGTCAAATACTAACATTCAAATTATACAGTAATTATACTTATTTATACAATAATACTTAATTATGCAATAATTATACAGTACCACTGTTACCAGTCAAATTAATTAATTCAATCAAAATCCATCTTTGCAGTGCAGAGGTGACACTGAAGTGGCATTAATATATTTACACTCCATTTACAATTGCATAAATAAAGCTATGAGATTTTTTTTAAATTAATATTTAAAAATGAAATTATTTCTAATTTTAACGTTTTAATTAAAGGATACTTTAAATATGAAACTAAAACCGCCAGTAGGCGGCGGCAAGTCCCTGTAAGAGGGATTCATTCATTCAAACGATTTGTTCAAACGGCTGATTTATTCGGGAAAGAAGCAAGTGATTCGTTCAAAACGCGGATTTCAGTCAATAAATCATCGCTGTGTTGCATTGAGACTGCTACGGTTTCATTATGAAATTCTAGTCGGCGAAATAAAGGGAAAACAAACAATATTGACAATATTGTGTCTAAAAAGTAACTCCCAATGTTAACTTATTGTTAATTTAACTGTTGTATAACATAAATATCACAGTTGCAATTGTGCACGGGAAAACGGCACTCTTGCTGATGTGATATTCTAATATAAGAACATAATATGATATAAATATAAGACAAAAACTAATTTGGGGACATAGCCTACTGCACACAGCAGTGAAAAGACGATAGACAAATGCTATGTCAGCTCACAGTGCCTCGTACATAGTTAAAACAATGATTACAATATCATAATAGACAATACACATCGCACACCCCATTCGCACATAAAGAATGAACTTACAACTGAACTGACATTTACCAATTTTCTCCTTCTCTCCTCTCTCGCGTGCAGGAGACAGGCGTTATTCTGCCGCGATTCCCGCGAATGTGATGCGAATTGTCACGTGAAAATGCAAATCCACAAATATAGAAAAATAAAAAAAAAAATACGCATACAACGATAGCAAAAAACAGTTTTGTAAAAATTATTTCAAACTCCACATTTAGGGGGGCCACAAGGGGGGCCAAGCTTTTTGTCACAGGGGCACGGGCCCCCCTGGCCCCCCCTCTAGAACCGCCACTGGACACAGATGATGATGACGATGAACAGGCGGGTAAGGAGGGAGTGAGTTCAGGTGTGGAGACACGAGGGATTCTGGGAAGTGTAGTGAAGACGAAGACAAGATGGTGCAGACGATGACTGTGACAGTTATACTGATCTATGTTTTTATTTTATCCAAATTTTTATTTTATCCAAATTCATTCATGATTGGCATGTTTATTCTGAATGTTTTTGGGGGTCATATATTCAAAAATGTGAGGCTGATACAATTGTCCTGATATAAAAAACGAATTATATAAAATATTTGAGAATCTTTATTCTAATATTTATAATATCTAATATTTTTTAGAGCTAGCTATCACTAGCACAGCAGGCAAATCAATGTGAGCTCAAGAATAACAACTCTCCAATGGGATTTGAATATAAGTTTTCAGCAAGAACATATTTATTCTTGCTCAACCTAATTTTTCTCAAACCCAACTTTCGTCATCTACTTTTTTTAGTGAGTTCTCTCACATTCAGTCAAGGATATCGGTGTCTCATGCTGCTCACATATTCTTTGTTTTTGGGCATCTATTGTATTCAATACATATGAATGTACATTATGAATGTTATTCTTTGCTTTTGAAAGGCAAAATGTTCAATCTCCTCATTTTCTCGTTGCAGGTAAATACGTCTACCAACCCATGACCAGTGTATGCCAACTTCCCAGCACACTGGTTCCAGTTGCCCCCTCAGGTCACACCCACACCATGAACCTATCCATCTCGCTGGCTGAACGCTTTCTTAGGACGGCTCCCAAGTTCCGGGCTCCACCCTGCCTAGAGTCTCCCAAATTCTGCATCATCTCTGACCTCTTTGTGGATGATTACATGGTCAAACGTATCAACGGTAAGATGTGTTATGTGCAAAGGCCGCCTCCACCTGCACCGAATCCCACACACCAACCCCAAACGCCGGCATCTCAACCTGCAACCCAACATACCAACAAGCACAGACAGCAAGTGGGCCCAACTGTTAAACACGGTCAACCAAACGAGAAGACCTCAGGCCCTAAAATGGACCACTGCTCCTCTCCCTCCAGCTCAGAAGACTCTGGAATAAATGCATTGGGTCTGCACTACATGGAATCATGCGATGAGGACTCCTGCATGGATGATGATGATGATGAGGAAGAAGATGATGACGAGCTGAGTACTGATGGGGACTCCAGTCCCGGTAGCCTCTGGGACCAGGATGAGTGCACTTTACTGTCACCGTCCAAATCAATGGTTGAGATCATTGAGAAGATTGAGACTACTGTTTGACATGCCTTTCAGTTAATGCCACAGTGGGAATTCTTTAGTCACGGAAACACTTCCCTACACTATCCTATCTGCAGGTGCATGAGTTCAATGAGCCAGTACAAGCACACACTCCCTGTTATGGCAATGCCATCCGAGGTTGTCCCAGAAAAACCTTTAAGAGTTGAGTCATGGAGACTTCCTGTACTTACTACAACTCTCATTTTCCCTATAGTCTGTTACGCATGGTGAGGCTAATGTAGGTTACACTCAAGTAAGTGCGCTGACATACACATATCGTCAGAACTATGACCAAATGGGACTCGATACATGATAGAATATTTCATGGATGAACAGATGTATCAAAGTTAAACTCAAAAACATGAGGCTACCCAGGGTATGTCTCTCCCTTGAGAGCTCAGCCACACTCTGTCCAATGCACAGAAGTGGAAGAGAGGATGGCTGATGCAATATGGATAGATCTAGACTAAGACGGTCTGTGTGTGTTAGGAGGATGGAGAGTGCTACAAAGATATAAGGAAAAAGAGTGAGGCAGAGAGAGAGGCTTTCAACGTCCTGTTAGCAGGATCAGTTAGAACAGTGGCTAAATCATGCATGAGCTCAGAGGACGGTAATGAAACTTTGTGATGAAAGGCGATTGAAACTCAGCGCTTGAGGGAATGCCCTTTCGCTCAAACTCTCTCACACACAGAGATTCCCTAGAGGCTAAGGCAAGGGTACATGAGGGTTTCTTGTCTGGCACCAGACTATGTGGGAAGGACCCATCTTCATAGTCCTCGAGGTTTGTGGCTTCTTTAGGAGTGGCATACAACTTTTTGACAATCAGTTATAGAAAAAGTAGGTTTAAGATGAATTGAGAAAGAGGAAAGAATAAAATTGTGTAATTTGTTTCCCAGGAACTTCATGGTGATCTTTGTTCCATTTTGTCATGCACCTGTACCACTTTGTTTGAAGTATGTGGTGTTACTGTACATCGACAAAGCCAAAGGACTGCTTAGGGGCCATTCACACAAGGGACAGGGTCTTGTACATCTGCATTATTTTTTTTTATTGTTGGTCTATCTAATTGTGATAGACAGATGTTATTTGTCTTTACAGAACATCTCACTGTTTGTTTGTTTGTTTTACTGCAGAAGAAAAAAAAAAGTCATACAGGTTTGGAACGACTAAAAGGTCAGTAAATGATGATAGATTTTTTGGATGAACCATCCCTTTAATATGCCACATCAAGTTATGACTGTTTTAAAACAGAACAAATTTGAGGATTTAGGCAGGATATGTTCATTTAAATATGGACAAGTGTATTGAGGGTTTATATTAGCAACAATGTACAGGAAGTAATGCTCCAGTAACATTTACATTCATGCATTTTGGAGACACGGTTTACAAAGCTTGCATTGCATTCAAGGTAGGGCTGTGAATCTTTGGGTAGGCAGCGAATCGATTCGATTCACGATTCATAGGTTTTCGATTCGATTCAAGAACGATTTTTGCAAATTCAGAAAGATTCGATTCAATGCGATTCACATTAAAATTCGATGCGATTCGCAGACTGATCTCATGAAATGGCGTATGTATGACACGCCAATTCGTATTTCCATTTTTGGCGTGCTATCAACACGCATAATCGCTTTTCAGCGTGTTTATCAACGCCTTTGACTTAACGTTATATTACTGTATTATGTATATATAAATATATGACCTACCCCAACCCCGTCCCTAAACCTACCCGTCACTGGGGTTAATACCATTTATGAGTCTTCTCCTACCATCCTAGGAAAAGAAATATCGCTCCACAGATGTAGATATAGATTTTGCTTCGTTTCGCTCGGACATTTAACGGCGTACGCATACACGCGGAATCACTCGGACATTTAATGGCGTAGACATACACGCAAAAGATTTCGGCGTGGACATACACGCGGATAGCTCAAAATGCGTATAGATAACACGCCACTTGAATTGAAAGTGGCGTGTATGTTTACGCAAAGTCATGATGTCATGTTGCGATTCGATTAATTCGATTCGATTCTTAATTTTTTATATGCATTCATAGGATTATTTAAATGCTTCCCCCAATGGGTCTTAGTCAGGGTGTGAATTATACAGCTGCCTTCGGGGGTCAGAGAGTGAAAAAAAAAAAAAAAAAAAAAAAACAACAACAACAACAACATTTTGTCTATTGTTAATGTTAGTTCATGTTAATTTTTAATGAATCTATTATTATAAAAAATATTTCCAAAGCCTATAAATTAGCATTTGTAAAAATGTAAACCAAGATTTAAAAAGGCTTTAAAAGTATAGTTCATCATGCTAACTATTTTGTAGGAATGGATACACAACCTTAAAGTGTTCCTACATTAAACATCCTTCCAGTGTGAGACTAAAAATACCATGAACTTTACCAACTAAAACCTTAACTAACGTTTCCTCATGGTATAGCTTTTTGTTCTCTTTATCCGACTGAACATTTTCCTTGTGATTCTGAAAGAAAACACGCCGGCTGTCTACTTGTGCTATTAACGATTATGAATGCAACTTTAATGCGCATCTGATTGATGGATAAACCACGCGCTCTTATTTCAGTGTAATTAACGTTGTAGTTATTTCATCAGCTCAGTTTAACGACATTAAGTTACATTTCATTCATCATTCATGATTAATCGGAAGCGTGTGCATTTTAGACACCTATTATACGTTTTCTCTTTCCATGTAATAAATGCGCACCCTTGAATAAGTGGGGTTTTACTTTAACTGCTCAGGACGGGTATGACCCATTTCCGTAAAACTTCAGTATCTTATCTTAAAGAAAATAACGGTGACGTTTCCACGCAACGAACGCGTTGTTTCATAGCAGCCCGCGCAAAGATATGGCAGCTTTATCAATGGCTTGCTTTCTCGATAGAGAGCTGTCATCTGCTCATGTGAACACTAATGGCTGTCCTGAGGAGAGCTCAAACATGGACTGCTCAAAAATCTGCAGATGAGAGCTATATGGGACCGAGCGCGAGCGAAATCCAGTGAAAGATGGTAAGAGTGCAGCGAGTATGTGAGAGCTGTGAGGACGCGAAATGACGCCGCACAACGCCTCATTAATTCGCGCATGTAGTCATTTAATGTTTATATGTTTTAAAGCACTGAATCGATATAGAATCGCAAATTATTCGATTCTTAGCATTTTAAATCGAATATTGACCGAAATAAACGATTCACAATTCGAAATACATGTTTCAAGATCGATGCATATGCATCGTCAGGATTTGTAATCGATGCATCGAGAAAACGAATGAATCGTTACACCCCTAATTCAAGGTATAACATTTTTGAGTTTGTGCATTCCAAGGGAATCAAACCCATGGCCTTGGTGTTTCTAGTGCCAGGTCTGATCAGGAATGCTATAAACCAGCCTTCAGGTCAGTTCCGTTGCCCCTGTCTAGCTGTATTTAACGCAAGAACACACCCAGTGTGAAGGGCCCCTTAGTGTCACTGAAATCACATCTTTGAGACCTTCTCTGGCTGCAACAGTTTCAGTTATTCTTAAGGGTCTAAGAACATTTATTCCATTCAGACTTGACATAGAATCTCCAGGTCTCATTTAATACTTGTATTCAAGTTCATCTTATTGTATTGAGACCAAAAATAAGACAACCCAAGCACAGTTACAGACTGGCCAAAAATGGAGGGAAAAAAGTATGTCAGGACCTGTGTGTCATGAAGTGCTTCTTTACCCTGGTTCATTAAGCACATGAAACCACTCCAATGTGTTTGTTTCTGTGTTGACTTGACTTAGGCCCCGTCCACACTATTGCGTTTTCGTTTAAAAACGGAGACCTTTTGCTACGTTTGCACCTCCCGTCCACACTAAAACGGCAAAAACGGAGACCCAAAACGGAGAAGTTTAGAAACGCTGCCGATCCGTTTTTCGTTTTGAATCTCCGGAGGGCGTTTTAGTGTAGACGGGTCAAAACGGAGGACTTTAGAAACGATGACGTAGTAGAGGCTCACGCTCGGCTCTATGATTGGGTGTCATCAGTCATGGCGTATATCTTTGCTAGCAGCTGTTGTACTAGTAAATTCTGCATTTTACAACGCTATAACTGCCTACATGCGCCGGAGTCAAGCTATTATTCGAGCGATCTGTGACAATTCCCGTGTGCAGCGGCGGCGTTGACCGTACGTGGAGCGTCGGTTTGGGGTTAACCCAGAGCATGGTGGGATAATTTTATCAATGAAGTTGTGTTTACACCGGCACGCGCATGCCCAGTGTTGGTGAATGGTCACGTGATCCGCGTTTTCAGTCGTTTTAATGTGGACGGAGATCAATTCTAATACGCAGCTAAAACGCTGGTGTGGACGGAGATCGTATTCGTTTTAATTATCCGTTTCTAAACTAAAACGCAGCAGTGTGGATGGGGCCTTAGGGGTCAGCCATATTGTAGACCAGGGGTGCCCAGTCCTATTCCTGGAGATGTACCTACCTGCAAATTTCTGTTCCAACCCTGATTAACAGACCATTTAAACTACACCGTTTTCAACTAAAAACGGAAAACTTTTAATACATTTTGGCCATTCATTTACACAACAACGGTGTTTTGGGGGCCTAAACAAACGCAAAAACCTGAATCTGTGTAAACGGTGACGGTATCCACATGCGTATTACGTGTTTAGTCTATAGGCATGCACGTTTGGCACAATTGCTCTGTAAAAGAATGCTTATGTGCACAGTTGCATTGTCTTTCTTTACAAAGTGACATCACCACATCACATGGCATGCATAATACAGAGCTTTTAGTTGTTTTCGTAGATCCATGTAAATGGGGATCATTTTGATCATTGTGATCCGTACAAAGAAAAGTTTTTTAGTACATCGTTGTCGGATTCAGGAGCATCCAACACAGGTCGATCCAACACACCTGTCTGTAATTATCAAGTGCTCCTGAAGATCTTAATTAGCTGGTTCAGTTGTGTTTGATCAGGGTTGTAGCTGAACTTTGCAGGAACAGATCTCCAGGAACAGGATTGGGAACCCCTGTTGTAAGTCTGCATCCGAAATTGTATACTTATAAACATACTATATAGTTGGTGAAAACCATATGTGACAAAAAAAAGTATGTCCAAATTAACAGTACTCATAAAACTGTAGGCAAAAAGTACCCGGATGGCCTACTATTTCCGGTGAGATTCTGAAGTGTGCATACTATGGACACTTTGCTATCCCATGAGGCCACAGGGGAGTGGATTTGTAAATAGCAACTGACACTGGGTCACATGATAAAGAAAACATGGTGGATATGTAGTAGGCCTACGTCCAGATTGGACTCATACTACATACATTCATACTATTTAGAACATACTTTTTTAGTGGTTGCGAAGTAATTACTTATTCAAAATTAGCACCTCTTCAATGCGATTTCGGATGCAGCTTAAAAGGGCCGTTCACACAGAACGCATTTTTTTCATCCCACTGCGCTATTTTTCCATTATTTTTCAATGTAATACACTCCTACATGAAATATCAAAACTGCACAGAGAATTCACACATCAATGTCTTGCTCCATATTTTTAAAGGGATTACAACTTTATTAACCCAAAACCTTATGACAGTATATTTGCTAATTATGGGGCTATGAGCTGAGACTGCCAAGGATGTACTAACTGGATGAAAACCAATTGAAGTTATGGCTCAAAGATGTAACACTAGCTTAGTGTTTGCTAAACCTATGTAATATATACAGTAAGCACATATGTAACCACACTGCCTGAACAAAATGATCATCACTGAAGGACCACAATCCATAGATGGTGCAGGTGTGATTCTCTCATTGTTTCTGAATGAATGAATATGACTATCCCTGTCTCTGCAGTTTCATATCAGGGACTGATACTGTAGCTACATAAATATACTGTAGATATACACAAATACGCAAATATTAAAATATACCCCTTTTCTCTTTTTTCTTATATCAATTATTGTTACTTACCTTTTTTTTCTTATAAAGAAATATTGAAAATAAGAAATGTTTCTGTCTTTCTTTCTGAAAATATGTTGATGTTAGTGGATCTCAGAAACTAACGTGATGTATTTCACAGAAGCGTTTTTGTGTGATTATTGAGCTGTTAAAGGCTAACTGCTTTGGCCTTTTAATCCTAGATAATCCTAGAGGAGTTCCAGTTCAATTCGCCACCTTCATAATCACAAAAGAGGACATGTGGGAATCGTAGAGGAATACTTAGCAAAGAAACCTGCTTGAAGCCATTGAAGCAGTAAGACCTTATGCCTACTTGGAAAACAGATGGGCCTACTAAAAGGAAATGGCTCCATGAAATACAAGCCTGAACTAATGAAATAACAAACAACAAAACTTCCTCTGTTGCTGTGCACACTTTCATCTCTGTAAGATTACATCTGGAGGACTAGGTTGTATTACAAAACCTCAAATGGTCTTTGTGACCACTAATAGGTAAGAAAAGTCACTGGTGACAAGCTTATGTACAATGTAACATTCACGAGTTCACATCTACATACACTCACCGGCCACTTTATTAGGTACACCTGTCCAACTGCTCGTTAACACTTAATTTCTAAGCAGCCAATCACATGGCGGCAACTCAGTGCATTTAGGCATGTAGACATGGTCAAGACAATCTCCTGCAGTTCAAACCGAGCATCAGTATGGGGAAGAAAGGTGATTTGAGTGACTTTGAACGTGGCATGATTGTTGGTGCCAGAAGGGCTGGTCTGAGTATTTCAGAAACTGCTAATCTACTGGGATTGTCACGCACAACCATCTCTAGGGTTTACAGAGAATGGTCCGAAAAAGAAAAAACATCCAGTGAGCGGCAGTTCTGTGGGCGGAAATGCCTTGTTGATGCCAGAGGTCAGAGGAGAATGGCCAGACTGGTTCGAGCTGATAGAAGGGCAACAGTGACTGAAATAACCACTCGTTACAACCGAGGTATGCAGCAAAGCATTTGTGAAGCCACAACACGCACAACCTTGAGGCGGATGGGCTACAACAGCAGAAGACTCCACCGGGTACCACTCATCTCCACTACAAATAGGAAAAAGAGGCTACAATTTGCAAGAGCTCACCAAAATTGAACAGTTGAAGACTGGAAAAATGTTGCCTGGTCTGATGAGTCTCGATTTCTGTTGAGACATTCAGATGTTAGAGTCAGAATTTGGCGTAAACAGAATGAGAACATGGAACCATCATGCCTTGTTACCACTGTGCAGGCTGGTGGTGGTGGTGTAATGGTGTGGGGGGTGTTTTCCTGGCACACTTTAGGCCCCTTAGTGCCAATTGGGCATCGTTTAAATGCCACGGCCTACCTGAGCATTGTTTCTGACCATGTCCATCCCTTTATGGCCACCATGTACCCATCCTCTGATGGCTACTTCCACCATGTCACAAAGCTCTAATCATTTCAAATTGGTTTCTTGAACATGACAATGAGTTCACTGTACTAAAATGGCCTCCACAGTCACCAGATCTCAACCCAATAGAGCATCTTTGGGATGTGGTGGAACGGGAGATTCGCATCATGGATGTGCAGCCGACAAATCTGCGGCAACTGTGTGATGCCATCATGTCAATATGGGCCAAACTCCCTGAGGAATGCTTCCAGCACCTTGTTGAATCTATGCCACGAAGAATTGAGGCAGTTCTGAAGGCAAAAGGGGGTCCAACCCGTTACTAGCATGGGGTACCTAATAAAGTGGCCGGTGAGTGTATAATTATTATGGTAAAGGTTATGCGTACTTGCCGTGCTGTCCGGGTGGAGGGCTCCGAGCTCGGAATTTCTGCCCGAACCCAGAGTACTCCCCCGTTGGTAAGAGTAGATGGAACTAAAGTGAGGAGATGGGCTGGAGGTGGGATGCTGATAAACTGTCAAGGAACAAAGGTGGGTTCTGCTGTTATTTATCTTGTCCTGAGTTGATTACTGATTGATATCCACTTGTGCTGATAGTTTAATTATCTGCACCTGCTCCTCCCGAACTTTGTTAAATAAAACATCATAATGTGTAGCTCTTGAATACGTGGTAATAATATTGTAAAATGATCAATTAATTGCTAACCTACAAATAGCACATTTAATTTAGTAATGAATTAAAAAAACATTATCTACCCTAGTGAAAGCAGCTCTGCAGAGCTGGACAGTAACTAAGTACATTTACTTGAGTACTGTACTTAAGTGCACTTTTTGAGTATCTGTACTTTACTTGAGTATTATTTTTTCTGGAAACATGACTTTAACTTCACCACATTTGAAAGACAAATATCGTAGGCTACATTGGGCTCTACTATATTTCTATCATGGTCCTCCTAGTCATTACTATGTAGCAGCTTTGAAAGTCAGTGGATGACTCAGAAAGTCAGTTTCTTCTCTAAAACGTTTATTTTTTTTTTAATCACTTTAATAACTTTAATCACTTTAACCATTAATCACTCTTGTAGGGTCACTTGAAATTCAATGATTTCTCAGTATTGTTTTTACACTGATTAGTTGATGGCTAAATGGAAGCACGACCATACTTAGAAAGTATGCTTCAGTTTGTGATTTATGAAGTCAAATGATTTACAGTGGGCTATGTATTTGCCAACAATTAGTTGAGTTTTTTTTTATTTACTTTTAAAAGCAAGTGATCCAGCTCAGTTTAGTTCTCATCAAATAGTGTCAGTATACAGTCAGATAAAAAAAATATTGCTAAATATTAAGTGTCCCCTGTGGTGGATTTGGTTTGACACACTCTGATCATCTGTTGATTGCTCATGCGTCATGC